CTATTCCTGCAAAAAATGGAGTCCTGGGGAGCTCACGTAAAATCTGCTACCTCCGAAACTGGAGGCAGGCAGGCTCGGCTTGCAGCTCTTGCAGTCAGCTCTGCCGAGCCCAGGCAGCCCTCCTCAAAGAGTTCCGGCAGAGCTGACTTTGGGCCTCACTGGGTAGGTTTTCCTAGGTGAGAGGCAGCAACCAAGTGTAGTGAGGCAGGCATGCTTGTGCACACCTTTAATCCCTGCCCTCTCAAGGAAGAGGAGTGGATACTGTGAGTTCGAGGCTAGCCTGATCTACATGGCAAATTCCAGACCAGCCAAGGCTCCATAATGAGACCCTGTCTTTTTTTTTGGGGGGGGGGTTTGGTTTGGTTTTTTGAAACAGGGTTTCTCTGTGTAGTTTTGCGCCTTTCCTGGATCTCACTTTGTAGAACAGGCTGGCCTCGAACTCACATAATCCGCCTGCCTCTGCCTCCCGAGTGCTGGTATTAAAGGCGTGCGCCACCACTGCCCGGCGAGACCTTGTCTTAAAGGAAAGGAAAGGAAAGAAAAGAAAGCTGGAAGGCGGTGGCTCATACCCTTTAACCCCAGCACTCAGGAGGCAGAGGCAGGTGGATCTCTGTGAGTTCAAGGCCAGCCTGGGCTACAGAGCAAGTTCCAGGACAGCCAGAGCTGTTACACAGAGAAACCCTGTCTTGAAAAACAAACAAAAGAAAGGAAGGGAGGGAGGGAGGGAGGGAGGGAGGGAGGGAGGGAGGGAGGGAGGAAGGAAGGAAGGAAGGAAGGAAGAAAAAAAGAAAGAGAAAAGGAGTAATGAGGAAGTGTGGGTGGCTGCTCCTCTGCCTCATCTGGCCTGAGCTTGCCTCCCAGGCCTTTTGGATCAGCTTCTGCACAGAATGTCGATCCAGTTGGCCCTACGTGAGTGGGTATTTGCATTGTTGCGTGACTCATGTAGTGGGTAGTAAGAGTGCATCTGGTAGCTAGCTCCCCGTGAGTTCATGGTTTAGATGCTGGCTGAGCGGTCATCTCAGCAGCCAGCTAGCTGCCAGCACCTGGAGGGTAGGCATCTCTGCTGGCTTGTGTGTCTGTCCAGGTCTGTGGTGTTAGTGAAGACTCAGCAGATAGCTTCCCCACAGAGGACAGTGAGGCGTAGCAGACTTGGACGCTGTGAGTCTCTGGAGCCATCTGTCTCCAGATCCTGCCTTTCCCAGGGGTACTGACTTCCTTCTCAGGCCCTGTGATGTGTGGGGAGGATAGTTGCTATCAGCATTCCCGTCGTCCAGGATTTACAGCCCAGAGCCATGTCTCTGCTGTGTTCACTTTATAAATTCCCTGGCGGCTCTACTTGACCACGTGCTTTCCTGGGCAACTTACCAGAATAGATAGTGAGTGTGGTGGCATTTAATGTGCCGCCCACGGAGATGCCACTTCCAGCCTGAAGCCTGCGGTGTTCGGAGACCTGAAAACCCTTCCCTGAGCTCTGGGAGAATGGCCCAGAGAGCTCTGTGCAAAGTTCTGTAGAGGGCCTTGAGTTTCCACACCCATCAGGGCCACCATAACTGGATAGTTAACTTGAACAAGCACATGCCCAGTCCTGGCATCCAGGGACAGACTAACAGCCAGCTCTGGTTCTGCTGCCATGTGGTTGCAGCTTGGGAGGAGCTTGTAGTTGGCTTGGGGGGCAGGTGTGCTTTACTTAATGATCTGTTCCTGAGAGTGCTGTGTGGTGAGCAGGGTGAGGGCATCATCATGCTCCCACAAGCACCAGGCTGCAAGTGTGTGCCAGACTAACCAATGGGAAGGACCTGTAAAGTCCTGCCAAAGAGTTTCTAGAATGAGCTTCTGGGGCTTGTGTGTGTGTGTGTGTGTGTGTGTGTGTGTGTGTGTGTGTGTGTGTGTGTATGTACTCAAGCCCCAGGCATCTGGTCTCTGCCTCTCTAATGCTAAGATACTAGCTGTGTGCTGCCACACCCCACTTTTTACATGGTTACCGGGGATCTGAACTCAGGTCCTTACACTTGGACACCAAGTGCTTTACTAGCTCAGCTGTCTCCCAGCCACCCCTCCCAGACTGATTTTCCTATCACAGTTCTACTTGCCTGCCACGCATCTGAGATGCCGTGTCTTTGGCGCAGTTGAGCCCTTGTGGACAGCTTCCCCCCACCCCCCATTTCATCTGGTGTCTTGTCCTCTTCTCGGGCCACTGCCTTGCTCACCTCCATGCCTCAGGGAAGGGCCAGAGCTCCAGTGTGAGGCTGACCTGGTCCCTGTTCTGTGCAGCCTTAGTCTAGCTGAGCCATAGAAAGAGGAGAGCTCCTGGCAGGTCAGATGAGACAGTTCCCAGGCGGGGTCCGAGCAGAGCTTGGTGCTTTTCTTCCCCTGACTGTTTGCAAGGGAAGAATGAGAGTGCTGAGTGACACTGTCCCAGTTTACAGGCGCACAGCCGCATCGAGCCGCACAGGGCAGAGTGCGCGCTCAGTGCCTCTCCCTTGCCTCTGCACAGATCCCATGACCTGGGCCTGATGGGAGCAGCAGTTTTCTGGCCTGGTGAGCTGTTCGATCGACACTCCATTATCGATGGAATTGTATCCACAGGCCCGGAAACTCCGGGCAATGGAGGCTTCTTTTTTCCCTCAGTCACTTCAAGGTGAGGCTGTCGGGTCTATAGTCCGCTCCTCCCTGGCTTTTCCTAGCCGCACACATCTGAAGAGAAATGAAATCACTCACTTGTTGAGTCACTCCTGTCAGCCTAGAGTGGAAACTACCCCTGTAGGACCTGAGGACCCGATCACACTGTGACTGCCCCCTGTGCTTCCCTGTACCTTGCCTGCAAGTTCCCAGGGTCAGAACCTTGGCCTTCTTGCCAGGAAATGAGGCTCCCCTCCAGTGGCTGGATGTACTGACCTTCTGCAGCACCCCACGGGGAGCACACATGAATGCACGCTAAGCACCTCTGCAACAAGTAGATGTCTGGTCCGAAGAAATCACTGAGAGACAGACAGCCTTGGCGGTTTGGAATAAACCTTCCCTTTTCCACACGTAGCGGCTATTTTGGTTTCTTTACTGCACCTATTTCATTCAAGAGGATCCTCTTTGTCTTCCAGAGCAAGGATGGGGCCTTAGTCTGCTTTTTAATTTTTCTGTTTTAACTTAAGATCAAGGAGGCTGGGGGCTGGAGCGATATCTCATCAGTTAAGAGCACTTGCTTCTCTTCAAAGGACCTGGGTTCCATTCCCAGCGCTCACATGGTGGCTCACAGCCATCTGTAGCTCCAGTTCCAGGAGATCCAACAATCTTTTCTGACCTCCTGGGGCACCAAGCACACATGTGTGTATAGACATACATACACACAAAACACATAATAAAATTAATAAATCTCACAAAATTAAAAAAATAGACCAAGGGGGTAAAACACACAAACAGCAACTTTCCCCATATTGAATTCCAGACCAGCCAAGGCTACACAGTAAGACCTTGTACCCTGGGGTGTGCTGGCACCTTGGGGTGTGGTCTGTGAATACAAGGACAGTGCTCTTGAGCCATTGCCACCACGAGGGGACACAGCTACCGTCACTGTGTGTATAAAGTATCCAAGAGAAGCTGGGAGTCCAGATTTCGTGGGAAGTCATTCAGTTGTGTGTTTTTGTGCATGATGTGTGTGTGTGTGTGTGTGTGTGAGAGAGAGAGAGAGAGTGTGTGTGTGTGTGTGTGTGTGTGTGTGTGTGTGTGTGAGAGAGAGAGTGTGTGTGTGTGTGTATGTGTGTGTGTGTAGGTGCACAGGTGCCAAGTGTGTGTGTGGATGTCAAGAGGACAGTTGCAGAGTTAGTTCCTTTCACCTTCATGGAGGGCCTTGAACTTGAACTGCATGCCAAGTGCTTTTCCTCACGGAGCCAGCTCACCAGCCTGGCATGGATTATTTTTTATCACATTTACTTGTTTGTTGGTTTGTTTTGCGGGGGATACATGCCACGGTACATTTTTGGAGGTCAGAGGACAACAGTTTTAGGAGTCAGTTCTGTCTTTGAACTGTGTGGGACCTGGAGATGAAACCCAGATCACTGCTGTACCCTCGCCTGCCGAGCCACCATGCCACACCCCCCACCCCACCCCCCACCCTCCCTGGATTTTTGAGAATAAACACTGCATACCAAGTACAGCTTGCAGACAAAGCCCAGGCCGTGGCTGTCATCCCCTCAGCTAACCTGCTTCTGGGGTCCTTTGGGCTACCACACAGGCTTGTTATCACCAAAGGAGATACAAGAACACCAGATAGGAGCATTCCTGATTCTGCTCTGGTACAAGCGCAGTAGCCCGGGGCAGGCCTGCCCCTTCCTGGGGCTCACTTTCTTTGTCTGCACAGTGAGAGCCAGACCTAGATCTGTGACTTTGAACTTATTTTTTTCTTTTCAGCAGCAAAACCTTTGTTTCAGCCAAATCTTACAAGGGCATCATCACAGGGTATGAAACAGACAGAATGGAACTGTCCCAGTTGCTGAGAATCTGGGGTTCTGGCCCGAGGCTGCCTCTGCCCTCCCCGGGGTACCCTGCCAGACTCTGCAGAACACAGTGTAGTGGTAGCCCACCTGCCAGCTGCTCGCCCCACCCCCAGCCCAAGTTCCGTGGCTGACTAGGGGGAGGAGAGCAATCTCCAGGAGTGTCAGCCATAGCAGCCTCCCCACAGCCGACCCTCACTAATGCTTCCTAGCATGAGGCATCCTGACAGCCACTGGGTGCCACCAACCCTGCTGGTGCTCCTGTGACTTCACCTCCCCCAGGTGCCTGTCACTGTTCCCAGCTTATACATGAGACATGGGACTGAGGGGCCCATAGACCACTGAACTGGGAGGTAAAGGAGCCCGGATGCCACCTGGTGCTGTGCACGTCCAGAATCTAGTCTGGGTAAAAATCCTTCCCTTGTGTTTCTGTGCCATGCTTCAGTTGACAGAATCCCGTTGGTCAAGGTGGATTTCTCTAAATATGACTCTGTCTTTTTAAAAATCACCACACAGGAGGCCGAGCAGTCCGAGCCCAGAAGTGCAGAGGTGCCGAAGAAGCCCAAGGCTGCCGTGCCTTCCATCAACAAGAGGCCGAAGAAGGAGACGAAGAAGAAGCGGTAGAAGCAGAGGCCTGAGGAGCCCGTGGCCTTGGCCTTGGGGGCAGCCCTCCTGGGAGCCAGCATCCTGTTTCCTCTCACGGACTGTCTCTGTCCTTGGCTCGAGGTCTGAGAAGATTGAAACTCCCTCTGACCACAGGGATCAGTCCCTAGGCTCCAGCTGTTCAGACCACCACTTCCTCTTCCATCACTCTGGTACACAGAGACTCTCCGAGAGCAAACTCTGTCCTGGAGGGTTTCGAAGTCAGGTCAGGCTCACAGAGCCAATTATTCATGTTAGTCCTCGGTCCAGTGGTCTTCGGACCAGAGGAGTCACACCGCAGTGTGGAATTGTTACCTAAGGCTACAAGCACACCCTCTCCCATTACTTGTGTCACATTTGTGTGTGTGTGTGTGTGTGTGTGTGTGTGTGTGTGTGTGTGTGTGACTTTTGTATGCACAGAACTTCACGTGTGTTCAGCCCACTCACTGCAGCAGCCAGGTCCTGAAGATGTTGGGGGACGGCAGGACAGCAGAAGGCCTGGCCCGGTGGTACCTGCACGGGAAGGTGGTAGCCGAATGAGGCCAGATTTCCTGGGCACAGACTTCGTAAGCCTTTGAAATGGACTTGTCATTTCCAGACAACCACTTTTCACCCGTTCTAACATTCAAAGTGCCTTTGACTCTGACCTGTCACCCCCGCATTTTTCATTCCCTGACCAACGAAGAAAAATTATGTGAAGTAAAGCCAATAAACTGTCTTGCATGCTGAGCCTGTGTTGTTGCTGAGGAGGGGAAGGGACAGCCTGGGTTTCTCTCCTGAGAATGAGGGGAACACTGTCCCCATAGAAATGGGGCAGTGTGGGCAGAATGGGCAGCTGTGGTCAAAGCCCTCCAGGCCAACCCGCTCTGGAACAGGGTTTCAGAAAGGGTCCAGTCAGTGGCTCTATGATGTCTTTAGTCATTGGGAACACCTGAGTTAGTTTCCACAGGGCCCAGGCCCCTCTCACTCCATAGGTTCCTACAGCACAGCGAGAGGACCATGCTTGCCCTTAGGGATGTGAGAAATACAATACAATATGGTAGAAAGCCTCAAGACTCCAGGCAGCTCTGATCACATGCCCTGAGTCAGCTGCCCAGAAAACCCCAAACACCACAAAGTCAGAACAACAGGCTCATTCACTTGCCAGACCCTTTCCCAAGAGTCATGGGGGGGGGGGGTGCTAAGGGACTTAGGTACAGGCACCTGTCCATTTCAAGTGCTAGTCCAGGCCACTTGAAACTCGACAGTAGAACAGGATCCCAAGCCCAGGATCCTGGCTATGCAATTTAGCAGGCGTTTATCCTGGTGTGGTATTTAGTGTTACTAGGGCAGGTGCTCTGCTGTGCAGAGGGGCTTGACAAGGCCTCCCAGAACCTCAGGTCTCAGGAAGTTCAGTGATTCTGCTTGGCAAAGAGCCACCTTGTGCAGACAAGCGAGGGCTTCCGCTGAAGGCTTCTGCTCGACAGTCACCTCTCAAACCCATAGATCTCAGGCCGCAGAAACAAGGGGCCTTTGTGGAAGCCTCGGGTGCACCTGGCCTCGTGGGAGACTGACATTCAGTAAGTCATAGCGGGTTCTATGGGAGCCCAAGACAGGGGCCCCATCTCAGACCCAGGGGCAGCCCAGATGCCTGTCAGAGTGCAAGTGAGGAGCTGGCCACAGGCGGGAGTTGAGAGCTGGGGGTTAGGGTGGGTGTGGGGCCAGGCCACTGTAGATGTGTCCCCTGAGGGAGAGAACATCCACCTCCCAGGAACAATTCCACCTTAGGGTCCAACTCCTTAGGTTGCCTCAAAGGTGCTCCAGAGACCATCCTAGGTGGCAGGGTATGTGCTTTCTCCATACCACAATGTGGGACAGAATTCTTGGGTAAAGCAGGTTAACAGGTGAGATTAATGAAGTACACTCACAACACTGATTCAGTTGCCGAGTCCTGCCGTTCTGCTCGGGATATGGGAACCAACCACAAGCTCCCTCATGTCTCCTGACCCCCAAGAGAGCACACAGCCCTTCTCCCTCTGCTCTTAACCCGTCACATATTCAGACAAGACCACACCCTGAGGCTTGTTACCTCAAAACCATTGGCTGAACGGAACTAATTCCTACTTCTCCTTTTTTGTCTAAATAAAAGGGTTCAAATCCCAACACAAAGCTATATACAATAAGAACAATTATAAAGTATTATCTAGAAGAAAAGGTAATAACATAAACAAAAATGGAACTACAACCAATAAGAACAACAACAGACGCCGGGCGGTGGTGGCGCACGCCTTTAATCCCAGCACTCGGGAGGCAGAGCCAGGCGGATCTCTGTGAGTTCGAGGCCAGCCTGGGCTACAGAGTGAGTTCCAGGAGAGGCGCAAAGCTACACAGAGAAACCCTGTCTCGAAAAACCAAAAAAAAAAAAAAAAAAAAAAAAAACAACAACAGACAAGAAACACAAATTAAATGTCCAGGCCAAAGGTAATTGGCAAGTTACAGAGATACTCCAATAGCTATCCTATCCTGAGGAATCTAAATCTTGTGGGGTTTTTGTTGTTTTGTTTTGTTTTGTTTTGTTTTGTTTTGTTTTTTGGTTTTTCGAGACAGGGTTTCTCTGTGTAGCTTTGCACCTTTCCTGGAACTCACTTGGTAGCCCAGGCTGGCCTCGAACTCACAGAGATCCGCCTGGCTCTGCCTCCCGAGTGCTGGGATTAAAGGCGTGCGCCACCACCACCCGGCTGTTGTTTTGTTTTTGAGACAGGGTTTCTCTGTGTAGTTTTGGTGCCCAACCTGGATCTCGCTCTGTAGACCAGGCTGGCCTCCAACTCACAGAGATCCGCCTGTCTATCCCCCTTTTTTCTATTCCAAAAGAGATTCCTCATTCTAAACTTTATTGTCCCACCCCCAACCCTATAACAACTTATAACCAATCCCTTACAGATGACCATTATCCATAACCCTGACAAAAATCAAAAACCTGTTGGGAGAGGGGGCATTGTTTTTCTTAGAATTGCTTCTTGCTATCTAGGGGGTGATGGTATCTCTGTGGGATCCTGTAAAAAAATAAAACAATGATTAATTCTCATGAGGACTAGCTGTAACATTTGTAGCCAGTCTCAGAGTAATGGGTAAAGCTTATCCAAAGTTCTGACTATAGTGGTGTAAGCTAGCCTGGCTAGCTCAGTTGGTAAAACTTGAGACTCTTGATCTCAGGGTCATGGGTTCAAGCCCCATGTTGGGAGCCAGATAATGTGGGACAGAATTCTTGGGTAAAATCAGGTTTATTAACAGGTGAGATTAATAAAATATACTCACAATAGAGATGAGAAGCTGCCACTGATTCAGTTGCAGAGTCCTGTTGTTCTGCTCAGGGGAGAAGGGGACCAGCCACCTGTGGTTTCACACTGCCTGACCCAGTCCTCACCCCCAAGCGAGCTTGCACGACCCTCCTCTCTGCTCTTAAGTAGTCACATACTCAGACAAGACCATACCCTGAGGCTTGTTACCTCAAAGCCATTGGCTGAGCAGAATGAATTCCCACAACAATACTCTCCTCCCGTCTATACTGTGGAAGAGATGGCAGCATCAGGCTCTGGTGGCTTCTGACCATCTTTCCTAGGTCCCTGGTTCCCATTAATCAGAGAGCCCTGGAGATGCTCCAGCCTCCACCTTCTGCCTGACACCTGCTCCCTGAGCTCTTGTCTAGGCTCCAGCTTTCCTGAGTTACCTGGGATTTCCAGAGCAGAGGAGCAATATGAGAGCGCTCTCTCTCTCTCTCTCTCTCTCTCTCTCTCTCTCTCTCTCTCTCTCTCTCTCTCTCTCTCTCTGTGGTTTTACGAGACAGGGTGTCTCTGTGTAACAATCCTGGAACTCAATCTGTAGACCAGGCTGGCCTCGAACTCACAGAGATCTGCCTACCTCTGCCTCTTGAATGCTGGAATTAAAGGCTCTCTGATTTTAAGTTTGACAAGGGAGGTCATAGTATCCTATGTCTGCCGATGTCATTTAGTGCATCATCCTCCAGTACCCTTTCTGTTGTTGCAAATGGCTAAATCCTTCCTTTCTTCCTCCCTTTCTCCTCCCTCAACCTCCTGAATGCTGGAGTTATAGTCACGCACCACAATGCCTGTCTTTTTGTTAAAATGAGTTATTCTATTGTTTATATAGCCCCCTCTCTCTTTCTTTGAGACAGGGTCTCACTGTGCAGTCCTGGCTGTCCTGGAACTCATTCACTATGTTGATCAGGCTGGCCTCAAATTCACAGAGATCTTCTTGCCTCTGGCTTCTGAGTGCTGTGATTAAAGATGTGTGCCACCATGCCTAGATTATTTTTAACTTCTTGAGCCTTTTTAAAAATTTTTAATTTACATTCCTGCTGACGGGCACCAGGGTTCTAACTCTTCCGTGTGCTTGCCAACACTTAGGCCAACACTTAGCTTTTCCTTGAGACAGCCATCCTAACAAGTGCAAGGTGACAGCTCCTGGTCTTGTTTATACTTCCCTGATGACGGGAGTTGAGGACTTTGAACATGCCAGTTGGCCATGTGGAGACCATCTTTGGAAAAGTGTCTGTTCGGGTCATTGAGCTGTTTATTAAGTCAGACGAATTGGCTTTTTTGCTACTGGGTTGTATGCATACTGTTTTAGACGTTAACCCTGTGTTAAGTATTACTTGCCACTCTTTTCTTCCCTCATGTAGAGTGACTTTCCGTCTTGTTTCCTTTCTCATGAACCTTTAGTTTGATTAGGTTGAACCTGTTTATTTTGTCTCTGCACCATGTGCTTTTAGTGTCCTTTCCAAAAAAGAAAAGAGGAGAAAAGCCAGGCGTGGCGGTGCACACCTTTAACTCAGGAGCTGGGGGCAGGCAGATCTCTGAATTTGAGGCCAGCCTGGTCTACACACTGAGTTCCAGGCCAGCCAAGGCTACGTAGTGAGATTCTGTCTCAAACAAACACCGGTGGCCAAGGTTAATGTCTAGGGACTTTCCTCCTTCTCGAAGTTTCCCTTTGTCAGGTCTTATGTCTCAGTCTGGAACCTGTTTTAATGGGCTAGAGAGATGGGCTTAGTGACCTGAGCTCAGTCCCCAACACCCATGTCAGACAGCTGTCAACCCCAGCTGCAGAGGATCTAGATGCTGTCTTCTGGCCCCTGAGGGCACCTGCACTCACATGCATATACCCACACACAGACACACACGCATACACATAACCAAAATGAATCTACTTTGAGATCAAATTTGTATATCATGTAAGGCGAGGGTCCAGTTTCACTTCTTCGCATGTTGCTCTCTCCACACCATGGATTGCAGAGAGATTCATTTCCCACTGTGCATTTTTGGTGCCCTTGTAGAAGATTAATCGACAACATGAGCTTGGGTTTATTTCTGGGCTCGCATTCTGTTCTCCTGCTCATGTGTTTGGTTTTATACCCGTAGCATCCCATTTTGCTTATTATACCCTTGTCGTTCAGCTTGAAATGGGTGTGCATCTGGCTTTACTTGCGCATCTGGCTTTGTTCTTTCTGAAGACATTATGCTTTTTTATATTTCTGTGAAAAAATAATTTTGGAAGGGATTACACTAAATCTCTAGGGCGCATTGGCTAGTGTGGACATTTTAACAGTATTGTTAATTCTTCCAGTCCATGAACATGGGAAATCTCTCTTCGAGCCTTCAAGGATCCTGTGGCTTGTGTGTGGCTTGTCTCCTAAGGCCTCCTGTAGTGGAAGCCTGGTACCTGGTATGGTGGTG